TGGTATGTAGGAAATTCTGAAAGGCCTCTTTATATTTCCAATTTTCATCATAAAAACAATTGCAGAGTAACTTATATCAGACTAACCCTCTTGCTCTAGACAAAATATCAAAGGCACTGGAGAATCACTGAAAGCAGGCATAAACTAGAAGGGATATAAGCCTCAGAAAAAGCGAAGTAAACTATATGAAACCCATATTTACAGTTTGTTTTTTTTTTTTCCGTGAAGGTACACCCCAGTCCATCCAGCAGAAGAGGAACAGTGTGCAAGCAGAAAACGGAAGTCCTGCTATGCTGAGGAGTCAGAGGTATCTGGAGCTGTCACAGCAGCTAGAACAAGAGGAAAAATCCTGGAAAAGGCAGAACCACAGAGTGGGTAGCTTCAAAGGATGCATACAACTCTGCTCAAATCCTTAAATAATTCCTGACTATGCATGAGCAAGATAAGATTCAGAAACCCAAGAGGAAGTAAGAGCTGGACAGCTGAAAAGATTAAGTAGAAGGCTCCTGGGGCTGGGGGTTCTGTTCTGCCTTAGAGGGGCTTAATGAACACCTCAGGGCTTGGTAGGCCCCTCACACTTTCCACTGAACCCCCAGAAGGGTCACATGTTGGGAATAAGAGCCCTATCCCATGACTAAGATTTGTATCGCTGAACTAAGGGCAGAACAGAAGTAGGCCCACCCTAACGTGTCCTAAAATCTAGCTTCCATAGGATCAAGATGATCTGCCAGTCTTGACAAAATTCAACATTCTTTAGTGGGAGACAAACTTTAAAATCTATCACCCACAACGTCCACTAAAATAATGTAAAAGTACCATACATGTGTAAAGTAAAGGGAAACTGTACCCATTGTCCAAAGAAAGACCAGTTGATAGAAACAGAAACACATCCATAGACAACCCAGATTTTAAGAACTAGCAAAGATTTTAAATAACTACAATAAATATGTCCTTAAAATGCACATTTTGTCAATTACACAAATCATAACCTAACCTACCCCCAGAATCCTAGTGAACTTGAGTTGTCCATGACCTTTAATCAAATTGGGATTTAGAATGGTTTATATTTGAAAGCCCGAAGCAAACAACTTGAAAGTAATTAATGACATCAAATTTAATCATATATTTACACCTCCCAGAAGGACAAGAGAAAGAATAAAATATCTTATCTCTCTGTAGTGAGAGGGCTTTATTAAGATTTGACAGTAGTTATTTAACAGCAATAATTGAGTTTTATGCAAGATTACACAGGTTCTCCTTATCTGGCATCAAAATCTAATCACAGACTGATAGGGTACTTAGGCTCCTAACAGTGAGAAAAAACAGTTGAGCTGAGTACAAAACTAATCTTCAAAAGTACTTATCTTCATCTGTCAATGTGATCTTATCAAGGATTTTTATAATTTCTATAAACAATCATTATATTTTAGCTGAATCAGTAGCATTATGCTGTCTAAACAGATAGTCAGATTCCTTCTATTTTAAAACATTTTCTACCAGTTCCCATCCCACCACTCACCACTTACCCCCACCCTGGCCCTGTAAAAGGAATTTGGCTTCAACTTTCTTTTCTTAATCCACTAAGCAATCTCATGAATAAAAAGATAATCGCATGCCCCGCATGCCTGATAGAATTTTTTATAAACCTTCTAAGTGTTTTAATATTTATTTACTATTTTGTGAAAATAATATTTACTGAACTAGCTAGATCATCTTCTTTCTCCATAGAAAAAAAATGTAACCTTGGTGAAAATATACTGAAAGCTTTGCTAAGTACACATTATTTTTGCATAAAATTTTGCTTAAAATTCTGTGGAGGTAGGCAAAGCACTGTAGAATGATTGACATGGCTGCCTTGATATTGTTCTTGCTTTTTCTATGTCCACTTATGTTGACCCTGCCACTCCTAAAGATGCTAATATTACTTTTGCTGAGGTAGGGAATCACTCTCTTTATACAAGTTTTGTTGTTCATCTTGGTCTCCCAAAATGATGGCCTCAGCATTTTTTTTCTCACTCTCTCTCAAGGAGCTTGTTTCCCTCAAAACAGGAAAGACATCTGAGGGACACACCCAGAACTGTATCCATAAGTATTCCATCCTATCAACAATTAACAAGTACCCAGGGACAGAATTTAGGCAGCTCCATTTTCATCAACCACAGGTGCCTGCCCTCAGCAGTGTTCTCCAGGAACCGGTGGCAACTTCATCTCTCCAACCTTGGTTGGCAAGTATGAGACTAGTAACCCAACAGTCCAACAAAGAACGACTGGACTTCTTCCCAACAGTGACCCTTAGGTGTCCTCTCCTGGTAAGTGCTCAGAGATTGGTCTCCCCTAGAAACCTTCTCTCCCCATGTCAGACCAAAAATATATAGGCAAACACTTAGAACCTATTTGAAATTCTCCACATATAAGTCACCAAGTTGAAAGACCTTCAGATAGAACTAATTTACCTTTCTGTGTGGTATTACCATCCTGAATGCTATGTGAAGTAAATATATATTTTTTAATTTTACTTTTAAGTTCTGGGATACATGTGCAGAACATACAGGTTTGTTACATAGGTATACATGTGCCATGGTGATTTGCTGTACCTATCAACCCATCATCTATGTTTTAAGCTCCACATGCATTAGGTATTTGTCCTAATGCTCTCCCTCCCCTTTCCCCCCATCCCCCAATAGGTCCCAGTGTGTCATGTTCCCCTCCCTGTGTCCATGTCTTCTCATTGTTCAACTCTCACTTATGAGTGAGAACATGCAGTATTTGGTTTTCTGTTCCTGTGTTAGTTTGCTCAGCAAATGGTGGCTTCCGGCTTCATCCATGTCCCTGCAAAGGACATGAACTCATTCTTTTTCATGGCTGCAAAGTATTCTATGGTGTAAACGTGCTACATTTTCTTTATCCAGTCTATCATTGTTGGGCATTTGGGTTTGTTCCAAGTCTTTTCTACTATAGTGCTGCAATAAACATACATGTGCATGTGTCCTTATAGTAGAATGATTTATAATCCTTTAAGTATATACCCAGTAATATATTGACTGCTGGGTCAAATGGTATTTCTGGTTCTAAATCCTTGAGGAATCACCACACTGAAATTTTTAAAGGAGAGAACCAGTGTCTTCTTATTTAACATAAATAGATAAGAAACATGTGCATGATGATATCTACTTAGCACCTTTTAGTTTAAGAAACACATTGTTATACAATAACTATACCAGGCACTGTACTAGTCATTAACTATGCAAAAAATGCGTAAGACTAAGACCTCACGTTCTAGTAGAAGAAACACATCAACAAATGACCATAATGCAATGGGGTTAACTACCACAAGAGTTGAATAACAGAATAAAGCAAGCAACTAAGGCGCCAAATGTCACAAAGAGACTGAACAAGATTTTAGTGGCCAACTCTAAGGTATTAAGTTCCCTCCCTTATTATCTCCAGTTGTATCTCCATTCTTAGAGGAGAATACACCACACTTTTTTCCCCTAGCTAGAAAAAAACTAAATGAGCAGCCCATAACAAGCTACATAAAAACTTTATTTCCAATGTTATCTTTATTCCAATCCAAACAACCTATTGTTAAGCTTTACTGTCATCACAGCTTAGAATATTTTCACTTTAGTGAAGAAAATCATTTCTAACGTGAAAAAATTAATCTTGTTTATAACATTAAAAAACTAAATCCTGGTGTCAGAACAGATCTCACTGGAAAAAAGCTGTAATTACATTTCTGGTAAGAAATAAAAATGTGTTGGATAAACTCATGTAAAATGCTTATTAAGCAAGTACCTCTACCAAAGCAAAGAAAAATTACTCCTCACAAAAGTGAAGGAAGAGAAATTTCATATTACCAAATCTTATTTCTCCAGCGTCTTCCCTGAAATAAATAGAATGGATATACATTCCTCTCAAAAATTTTCAATTGAGGTAGAAGAAAAAAAATTATTTGGAGGAAACCTAGAAAAGCTATCATGAAATTATCTCACAGCCTTCTTCAAACAAACAAAATGTCTTGGCTAGAGCAGATGGTTGGAGAAAAAAGGAAAAAAAAATGCTCTTAAGAACTAGCCTACGTTTTCCTTCATCTTTACTCTTTTATCCCCATATAATAATACACACTCACAGCCCCTGCTCCCCGCCCCATCTACACATATGCATACATCTTCCTTTCTCACTGTCGCACTTTCAGAATTAGATTTTTTACACTAGAAAACAAATATGAATATAATATTCACTTATACTGGGCAGAATATTAAAGTTAATATCTATTTGGTTTCACTTAAAAACAAGATCATAGTTAACACGTTAAGGGGAGACTCTAAGAGTATGCCTTAAACTGAAAAACACAAGGGAATCTACTATACATATATATATGTGTGTGTGTGTATATATGTATATATGTGTATATATACGTGTGTGTGTGTGTGTGTGTATTTTTTTTTTTTTTTTTTTTTTTTGGAGACGGAAACTTGCTCTGTCACCCAGGCTAGATGCAATGGCATGGTCTCAGCTCACTGCAACCTTCACCTCCTGGTTTCAAGTCATTCTCCTGCCTCAGCCTCCTGAGTAGCTGGGACTACAGGCATGTGCCACCACACCCAGCTAATTTTTGTATTTTTAGTAGAGACAGTGTTTCACTATGTTGGCCAGGCTGGTCTTGAACTTCTGACCCCGTGATCCACCTACTTCAGCTTCCTAAAGTGCTGGGATTACCAGTGTGAGCCACCACACCCGGCCTACCCCATATATATTAACTAGCCACCCACTGAAAAGTCTTTTTCATGGTGAGAAAGATAACAGTAAGATAGTAAGAAGTTCTTATTAACTAATTTTCTGGCATCCACATCCTTCCATCCTCACCCCCAACCAAAATCTGTACCAGGAAAGCTCAAGAACCAGTAACATTCCATGGAAGTATTAAAAATAGAGGAGTAGAGCCAAATCTTGTCCAGTGTTCTATTGCAAAAAGAAAATATATGAAGAGAAAAACTTACTTGCAGTATCCTGTGCCATTGTGGTAGGTAACACACATTCCTTCATTTACACAGGGTTCATAGCCATCTCGACACTGCAAGGCTAAAAATAGAAACAAATGCACATTAGAAGTAAGTCACTAATCATAACCCTAAGACACCAAAGAAGAGTAATCCAATCCAGATCAACATTCATTCCCACCTAATTTGGGTTTCTTTTTAGAGTTTTAATCAGCTTTTTATTTTTTGGCTTCTAGCACAGAAGCCTATCCCAAAAGTATCTTCCAACAACAACCATGTTTGTGGTCTTGAATGATGCTCTTACTTTTCTGTGTTCCAGTATCTCCAGCTGTTACATCTCCTTCTCCCAATTAAAAATTAAAGCCATACCATCTATGACATGACAGATTATCTTGGGATTTAGATACTTCAGATGAGTATTCTAAGGATTCATCAATGAATGTCTAGGAAAATGTTAGATAAATAATAGATCACCATTATATTGATGAATTACTTAGCCTTCAGGTGAAGTTTTAAAACAGACCACTTCAAGAAGTAATCAGAAACAGCAATAACAGTCATTCAACAAACTGAAATTGAGAGCCTAGTATGTACCAGGCACAAAATTAGGATCCAGAAAAAAGGAGAAATGGAATACATAAATGAATAAACATAATCTCTAGCTTTAAGGGGCCCATAAAAAGATGGGGAGTAGAACATGAATACAGATTGTAGAGAGAGTATCAAAATAAATAGAAGGAGATAAAATAAAAATTCTCAAACTCTTGATTCCCCCATTCCCTTTAAAAGACAATGAAAAGGCACTTTACATCTGAGGCCCTCCCAAAAACAGACTATTCAGAAAAAAGAACAAAAACAACAGCAATAGTAGAAATTTTCATTGATTTCAGCCAAGAATGGAAGAAGTCTACGCAAAATCTGCCAATCACTTGCTGGATAATTACAGTATCTTGATTGCTTAGCTTTTAGAGTTGAAATATTCATCACCAAAATACATATCGAGAACCCTAACAACTGGAAAGGTAAGACAGAAAGAAACCTAGTCAAACAACAAATATCAAAATTGAAGCTCATGAACTCTTCCTTGGAGGTTATTAAGATGTCCATCTCTTATGATAGTTAATGTATAAAAACCTGAAAGCAAAACTGAGAAGTTCCCACTCCAAGCTTCCTCTAACCACAGCACTCTATGCATAAATTGTGCAAGATCAGAGACTCTAGGCCTGCCCATCCCTGGCATCAAAACCAATAGCCCAGGTGCAAGCTAGATGCCAGAACAACTCCTCCACCAATTACTGCATAAAAGCCCTTTATTTGCCCCATATTGTATCCAGTAGTGGAATCATTTGAGAACATGTTTACAGAAAATGCATCCCATCCTTAAAATAATATTTTTAATGGTAATAGTAATAATAATAGGAGCTAACACATAGAACTTACTAAATACCAGGCACTGTCCTAAGTACTTTACATAAAGTAGCTAACTAATTCAATCTTCACAACAACCCTTAGAAGTACATTTCATTATACCCATTCTCAGGTGAGAAAACAGGAAGGATAAGTGGCCTGCCTACTGTCATACCAGTGAGTTAGAAAGCCAGAATTTGAATCCAGAGACTCTGCCCTTAACCACCAAGATACACTGCTTCCCACTCCCTGAAATTTCTCAGGATTCGCAGGGTGGATATTATTATACCCATTTACCAATAGTGAAGGCCAGAGAGAATAAGTGGCCTCTTCATGGGGCATTGTACCACTAGCCAGTGGGCAGGGCTGGGCCTAGGACCCAGGTCTCTGCTAAGTCCAGCCCATCTCTATGACAGCTGCTGGGATCACACAAAGAGTCACCAGGCTGCAGGCCCAAACAGGCAAATTCAGGAAGAGGGTCATCTTGCTGTCCATATCCCACTTCCCTGTAAGGCTCAAATGCTCCCTCTTCCCACACTGATAAGCCCAATGCAACAACTATAATTAAAACAGTTAATGTCAGGTTATTTCCTCCATACCAAAGTTCTCAAACTGATTTTTTCATTCTCTTTAGACACTTTTATTAGTTTCAGTGAGAACTTCCGGGGTTTTTTCTATTTACTTTTTTTCTTTAAATAAAATGATAAATAAATAAAACCCTCACAGTAGGAAAGGAATGTCCTGTAGGCACAGAAAAAGCTGTAGCTCTGTCCCCCTGCAGGAATCCTGGTGCAGTGGAGGGACTCAGGAGACCTGAAATCCTGTCTGTACCTCTAACTGCAAGCAAAGCACAACTTCACGGGGGCTCAATTTCCCTACCTGTAAACCAAGCTGAGAGTGAACTAAATGTCCCTGAAGATACCCTGTGATCCACCAGCGACAGCTCCCGCCTTAAAAGTACATGAATGGCATGCCCAGTGCCTGAAGAAACCTATCCTGGAGTGCATAAAGACCCAGCCACCCATGACTCAGAATGCCATGGGTGCAAAAATCACGGCCTATTCCTATTAAGTGTCCTGACAAATCATTACAGTGACAGGTTCAGAGAAATACAAACAACCCAAAGTCAATATGTAGCAATCAATCTAGCAAATAACTTTACAGCCTAGCCTTAGTGAACCAATCAAACTCAGTGACTGAAAAGAAGGTGGGCTTACCAGGCTAATAATTAATGCCACTTGGCTGATTTGTGGGATCATGCTACCTTGAACCTTTAATATTTACTGAGCCATGGTTCTCAAACTTCAGCAAGCACTGGAATCACTTGGAGGGCTTTTTAAAAAAGAGTGTTGGACTTGACCCCCACAATTTCTGATTAAGTCCATAGGAAGCCTAGGAATCTGCATTCCTAACAAATTCCCAGGTGATGTTGACACCACAGGTCTGAGGAACCACACATTGACAACAAATATATGAAAGCTTGAGTGTCCACTTTTAAAAATACTCAAAAGCTATATAATATAGAGGTCATAGATGATTTAGATGATAATATACTGCCTGAATAAACAGGATGTGGAGAAATGGAACCATTCTACTCTGTTAATGGGAATGTAAATTAGTACAACCATTGTGGAAAACAGTGCAGAGGTTCCTCAAAAAACTAAAAATAGAATCACCACATGATCCGGTAATCCCACTGCTGGGTATCTACCCCAAATATTTTAAATCAGTTTATCGAAAAGATGTCTGTACACCCATACTAAGTTATGGAAGTGTCCCTCAACAGATGAATGGATAAATAAAAGGTGGTAGATAGGACAGGTGCAGTGACTCACGCCTGTAATCCCAGCACTTTGGGCGGCCGAGGCAGGTGGATCATGAGGTCAGGAGTTCAAGACCAGCCTGGCCAAGATGGTGAAACCCCGTCTCTACTAAAAGCACAAAAATTACAGCACGTCTGTAATCCCAGCTATTCAGGAGACTGAGGCAGAAGAACTGTTTGAACCTGGGGGGCAGAGGTTGCAGTGACCTGAGATCGCGCCACTGCACTCCAGCCTGGGTGACAGAGTGAGACTTTGTCTCAAAAAACAAGAAAAAAAAAAGTGGTAGATATACAGAGTGGAATACTATGCAGCCTTTAGAAAGAAATTCTGTCATTTGAGACAACATGGATAGCATTGGAGAACATTATGCTAAGTGAAATAAGGCAGAGAAAGACAAATACAGCATGTTCTCACTTATATGTAGAATTAAAAACCATCAAAATCATAGAAGCAAAGAGGAGAATGATGGTTACAGAAGCTACGGGCCTGATGGTCAATGGGTACAAAGCTACAGTTAAGACAAGAAGATTATTTTTTTTGTATGTTTGAGATCTATTGCATAGTGTGGTGAATATGGTTAATAATAGAGTATTGTACATTTCAAAATTGCTAACAGAGTAAATTTCAAAAAATGTTAAATATTTGAGATGAAGGATACAATTGTTCTACATTGAATTTGTAAATTATAACATCACTTTGTACCCCATAAATGTATACAACTATAAATTGACAATTCTAATTTTTAAAAAAGAAAAATAATCTTGAGACTCGTGGCTTTACTCAGGAGCAAAAATGAATATTATAATTATCTTCCATACAAAGAGAAATTAAAACTTTGATAACCTGAAATCATGAAAGTGAGACTGGGAAAGACCTCATTTTAAAATTCAATTTACTTTTTTCCAATGTAAAACATTTAAATTTAACAATAAAATTGAAGGCAGCTTCATGTTTATAAAATAAAAAAAGAAACATTAAATCATACCATAGAGAATTGATGCTTAAACTGATGCTTTAATAGACTCCAAGAAACTAGTCACTCACAAAGAGTCACTTTTTCCCCCAATTTTCATGTCAATAAATACTTGCTGGCTGAAATAAATCTTATTTACTGTGTGTATCTGCTGCTTGTAGAGGCCCTCCTCTACTCCACCAAAAAAAAAAAAAAAAAAAAAAGGGCAAAAAGCAGTAGATTTCAATCTCATCACTCCATCACTTGGCAATGTAATACAAAAATCTAGAAGCCAATTTCCAATTTTCATACACTTTCAGGGCCGTGCAGTTGGGAACTAGCTACCTAATATTCAGAACATATTTAGAAAGCATCTACTATGGCACAGCAGGCACAGGTCCTGATGTCAGGGATACTGTAGTATAATGAATAAACTCCCTGTCCTCAGGAATCTTATTTCTATAAGAGAAAGGTGGCTAAAAAATTAATAAATAAAATCATTTTGGACAGTAATAAGTGATAAGTTCCACTGGAAACAAAACCCAGTAATGGGATAAAAAGCAATCATGAAGGCTGGGGGTGTAGGAGCATACCTCATACAGTGTCTAGGAAAGGCCTCCCTGAGGAGGTATGCTTTGAGCTACAATGTAAATGAACAAGTGTCATGAAGATATGAGGGAAGAGCATCCCAGGCAGAGGAAACAACAAGTGTAAAGGCCTTGAAGTGGGAGAGACTGGTATTCCAGGGTCATATGGCTAGAGGTTGTTAAGCAAGGAGAGTGGCCAGGGAGGCAGGCTGGGGTTAGATCACAAGAGCCCATGATAAGGATCACAGCTCTAAGTAGGAGAGTAAACTACTCAGCTGTTTTAAATAAGAAAAATGACACAGATTTATGTTTG